CTGCCAAGACCCCTATCTGACCCGCTGCACATGTCTGCCTAGGTCAGTTTCTTCTCCATTTTAAGAAGAAACAAGATGAAAAAAAAAGTCTCTGTCTTTCCCTGCTTATTTTGTAACCACGCACCTAAGCTGTCTCTTGCATTTGACTCCACCTAGTGCCAGCAGCAGTGAGTTGGAGGAGAGGCCGGAACTAAGTGGCTACAGCTGCACTTCCCACCCCCACTGGTGCATGCGCCCCTTTCCTCCTGATTCTGTGACTCCTTGGGTCATACTTAGCTGTTGGTTTTTTTCTTTGTCAGACTTTAGCATATTTCTAAGTATAGAACTTGTTTGTGGGCCTGGTGACATGTTCTGGAGAGAAATCATGGAAAGAGAGGGGCACTCCTCTGGGGACTAGTGGCTATGACTATTGTGCTCCCTTAATACCTATTTTGTTTAAAACTGTTATCAGAATCATAATGGTCCCTAGAAATGTTTTCTGTTCTATCAGTGAAATCATCAGTGCTGTAATGACTCCATCTTAAGCAGGGAAACATTGTGAAGTGGAAGGTTAAATAAAATGATCAAGTGACCTTAATGATTGTTTTTCAATGTTTCTAGAGAAAGCAAGAGAAAGAAAATCAAAGGGCATATTGGAGCTGATCATTTAAACTATGATGTCCAGGACTTCTAAAATATGTGTGCTTTGGAAATACTTTTCCCTGCCATCACCCAGAGATCAGTTCTCTCCACAGTGTCTTAGGATGAGGGTTTTTCCCACAAGTAGTGTGAGAGACCCTTACTGTAGACGCTGTCTATGTGTCTTCCTGGAAGAGCATGATTTCTGAGTCTTATAACCCAGGCATGGGGGTATGCAGTCTAAAGGGAATGCCTGTCTTTTGTGCTCTCATGTTCTAAAGGTTCAGAAGCCTTCAATCAGAAAGGAAAATGATTCCCAGAATTGCAAAGACAAACATAAAACATCTGGTACTGATAACAACCATCCTCACAGAGGTAAGATACCAAAAGCTGTCCCACAGCCTCCAGCTGAATCTTCAGACACACTTGAGAATGAGAGCACACACAAAAATATCCACCCCAAAGGCCTGTCTGTAATGAGAGCAGGCTATATTGTAACTGCCAAACAAATCAAAAACTCAAAAGGCATCACATTATTTTCACACTTCCAACTTAAGCTTTCTACTACTTTCACAAAAAACAAAACAAAAAATACCAACACATAAGCAACCAATTGTAGGGAGCCATTGAAGCTATGGAAATTGACCACACCTGTGGGAACAAGAACAAAGCCTGCCTGGGGAGGCACAGAAACAAGTGACTCCTGACCCTAAAATCAGGCCCTTAGGTTGCCATACATGCAAATTACTACAGGTGTCATGTGACATTTAAGTTGCTAAACGCATAAATAAACACCCCTATAGTGAGGGGCCATTTCCCTTTCCTCTGATCAGGAGAAAGATGTCTCCCCCAACCCCACCTTTTGTCTGTTTATTTTTCTCATCCGCTCATGGCCCTTTATCCCAAGAACCTCAAGAGCCACAAGGGTTGTGGCAACCAACACACAAGGGATGACAATTCTTGGTTACCTAAACAAGTCACAATCCAGAATCTAGTCAAAATATTTTATCAGTGTCATCAGACAAAAGGAAACTTTTACCTCCTTCCAATTATCTCTGTGGGACTGCCATTATGATATGGAAAAATATAACTCCTAACCAGTTAAATGTCAAATGTGCCAAGTTTGTGGGCTCACAACATTAAGAAATGAAGTCATGACTCAAAAGAGGAAGTCAGGAGAATTTGGAATAAGGAAAAGAAGAACATGTTGCTCTTGGATTTCCAAGAGAGAGCCTAAATGGGTGGACACTAAGGTTGTGGGGAAACCACTCAAACTGTTTCAAAGCTCAGGGGCTGTCTTGGTTACTTTTCTCTCATTGCTGGAACAAAATATATGACATCCAAAATTAAGGAAGGAAAGGTTTAGCTCAGTTTGTGAAGGGTAGCATGGCACAATGGCAACATTTTAAGGTGACAGAAGACAACAAAAACAGCAAGAGCAAAAGGGAAGAAAAAAATTCTTCTCCCTTCTAGTGTAAGCAGGCTATTCCCCTCAGGTGGTTGTAACAGTCACACCATCTTGATGCCCTCCTCAGCCTGAGGATGTTTACAAAGTAAGGACCCCGCCCCCTGCTGAATCAGTTAACCTTCTGACCTTCTCAAATTGACACAATGAACAATATTCTAGAGAGGTAACAGCATGTCCTTTATACCCCAGGTTAGAGAGCTGCTGAGTTACTTAATTAAGCTTCTAGACTTCTGAAGTTGACACAATGTATCAGCCATAACAGGGTCATCCAAAGATAGCTAAGGACATGACCCCACTTGTCTAGTGCAGGTGCACAGTGGGATATAGTCAAATAAGCATGACAGCACAGGTAAACATTCAAGCACTGGTTATAGCAGTATGTAAGAATGTGAATATGAGATAATCTATATAAGAATTCTACCAGGAAGACATAGGTTTCTGCTGTGCTCTTGCACTCTTGCTCTGTTTGCTCTATTCCATGCTGTCTGCTAAGGTTGCTGTTGTTTTGCACACGTGCTTTCATTAACTTGGGGATCTCACCTTGAAAATCTACCTTGGACCCTTAAAGGGGACCAACAGTTGGCAGAATCAACAGGGTATGGATGTGAGTGGTTCCTGTTGTACACTAGCAAAAAAAGCTTTGTTGTATTTGTATTATACCAAAATACTTGTAATGTAGCCATACTGTTCTGTATGTGTCGTGCCCCCACCCCGTGACCTAATTGATATATTGATTAATTGATTAATTAATTGATATATTGATTAATCAATTCTCTCCTCTGTAAAGAATTATAAATCCCTAAACACCTAACCTAATTGATATGTTAACCATTGTTGCCCTCTACAAATAACAGATGTGGTGCTAAAATGAGCTGACAAAAGGTTGTTAATTACTGCTATACTTCTCTGTTCTCTGCTAAGGGAAACAAAGGTCTTCCTCATTAAGCAGATTTCCTGATCCATGCCCATAACCCCTTACTCTGTAAACTGTGATATGTACATAAAGGCCACAAGCTTTGACAGAGACACACAGCTTTTGCAACTTCAACTGCACTGTGTTGCTGGGCCCAGGATAAAATAAATCAGTGCTGCTTTTTAAAATATGTTTTTACTTCATTTTTTGAACTTGAGCTTGGGGGCTCATTTGTGATTACAAGAGTTCCACTGTAGCTGTGGAAACAGCACCCAAAGGTGAAAGAGAGCTAATAAGCAACCCCTGGCCTCATTCTCACTACCTGTAGCCACCTTCTTAGTGGCTTGGAAGGCCCCAGAGGACTGGGAAACAGTCCATCTGGAGACCAGGTTTATCTTGCAAGCCTTAGAAGTGATAGAGAAATTCCTCCCCCTCACTATGAAATGGTGAGGTGGGTGGCTTGGCTGTTTTTCCACTCACTTCTACTGTGTAAATCAAGAAGCAAATAGTCTTGTTTGGCAAGTAGACAGAGTTGCAGCAGATATAGAAGGGCCTTGAGTAACAGCTGGCTGCTATGGAGCTCATGTCGCAAGACGTGGGAAACACTGCCACCTCTAAAAATGTCTCTGGAAGCATTGGTCCCCATGTGTGAGAAAACTCCCAAGAAAAATTCCCTAGTTTGTGTGATAGGCCAGCTATTTATCCAAAGGTGGAGGCAGAGGAGCCTCTAGTTCAGGGAGAACTAGTAGGGCCACCTATCTCTACCAGGCACACAATGTACTTGATTTGTACAGTCATGGAGCTGTGGGAGCTGGCAAAACAAAGCAGAAGGTGGGTGAAACAATGCCCTCATGGCATACAGCTGTGGGATGATGGGGATAATCATACACAGAGGTGTCCATAGCCAGCACCCCTTCTATGAGATGGGTTCTGCAGAATGTGCAGAGGACAGACCCAGAAGCAGGTAATCAGACCGAGATAAATTGATTAATGGCAGTAATTATTTCAGGTTTGGGATTATTCAGGTGGCCTGTCAGAGCAAGTCACTAAATGGACAACTAGCTAGTCTTAACAACTATGCTGTGCGAAATGGCCATGTGGCAAATGATGTTCGCACTGCAGTACCATAGCTCAGATGAGGAAATGTTCAAGGCATGCATAAAGGACATGATCCTGGTAAGCAGGCCAGCTGACACATTCCAGTCCCCTTCTAGCCTCCATTAGAGATCACCCAAACCATGATGCTGTGGATGCCTTGGCCAGGCTGAGGGATATGACAGTCAAGTGCCAAGGTAAGGTGAAATCTGTAAAAGCTGTACTGACAAAGGAAAAACAAGGGAGTCTCCTGGTGAAAGGGCCATCCTCCAAGGACAAGCTGTGGGGCCACTGAAAGTTGGTCAGCACTAGATCTAGATGGACCTATTGGATGCTGGCCTAGCTGCAGATAAGTTAGACGAACAGCCATTGGATGTGTTACTGACTCTGTGGAGGCAATTATACCCTGAGCAGCAATACCAGCCAATGGGCCAGGGCCAGAAGGCCAAAGCAGCCCTGGTGAATCAAGGCCTCCTTTTGATATAGGGGAATGAAAACTCCCAACCTTCTGGTACGAGCTCGTGTTCTCTAAAATCAAAGAATGAATTTTAGGAACAACAGAGGTTAAGAGTAGAGTATATTCATTGAGAGAAAGAAAGCTTCTGTCTGAAGAGAGACAGAAGGGATCCCGAGTAGGTTGCCCAAGACTCTGTTTTCCAGGGACTTTTATAGAGTAAAACTATGGGTTCAAGGTGCGGTGGCGGAGGACTGGGAACTCACAAGGCAGATGGGCATAAGGTGGGACATAACTATAGTGAGTGTCATGGTTTATGTCTGTGGCCCTCAGGCCTCATGAGTTTGCATTGTGCATTTGTGATTGGTTCATTGTCTAGTGCTTGGATTGATAGTGTCAGTGCTACACCTACATAGGGGTGGAGCCAGGATGTGATGTAATGGCAGGAAGAAGGTGTGTCTTGCTCTTTGCTGGTTCCTGCTTGCTGTTTGCCCAGCCATGCCCGCCTGTCTTGGAGCCAATTGAGTGTAGACTGAAACCTCTAAAAACTGTAAGAAATACATTTTTCCTTTCCCAACTTGGACTTCAGGTGTTTTGTCTCAGCAATGAGTAAAAAGTAACTAAGACAGTGAGCCAATAAGATTAGTAGTTCAGGTAAAATTGATTAAATTGGGGACAAATGGGAAAGCAAGTTTTGTAGGAAGTGGGCATTCTTACAGTTGTGACCTTTCCCCTAGGGAGATAGGGAACTAATTAGAATATCAGTCTTCAGGATGTAGATGATGCATTTTTTTGATCCTTTGTCTTGAGACCTGGCCCACAGCAGGAGGTATCTGACTCCCCCACAGTTGTAAGATATCTGCACAGGCTCCTTTGAGGATCTAGCCCTGTCTCACTGCCTATAATACTCCTAACTAACTCAGCTGCCTGCAACAGGCAATTAGCAAAAACAAGGTAACCAGGTCTTGGGGATTCCCAGGAGACTGGCCATATGTGGAATTGACCATTTACTAGTCCCCCAAAAATATGCAGTGTGTGCTAGTGTTGGTGGATACAAGAGCCAAGTCAACATTAATATATGGCAATCCAGACCATTCTAAAGGACCTGCTGCATACATTGAAGTATGAATATCACTATATCATGGTCTTTGGATGTTGGACACTTGCCTCCCCACAGATATGATGTCTGTGTTTCCCTGGTTGTTGAATACACACTGGGAGTGGACATACAGACTGGTACTCAACTAGACACCACGCAGGAGGAATGCCTCTTATGAATCCATGTGGTAAAAGCTGTAGTATAAGGACATCTGTACCACACACCCCTAAATTTCCTAAATGCTATGTGAATTGCGTGCATGAAAGAGCATGGAGTGCCTGGAGATCACAAAGTAATGGGACAGACTGTCTTGAAATTAGAAAAATCAGGGGTGATATGTGAAAAGGTTGCTGGCCCAGACCGGACATTTTAACCAGGAGAAGCCTCAGTCAAATTAAGGAGCTCCTGCCTCCCCCGCCCCTTAGAGACTTACCTGTAACCCTATACCCCTGCGCTTAGTAACCTGCCTCTGGCGCCAAACGTGTGCCAATGGGCTACCTGTGCATCCCTAATGCCCCTTGGGGTCCACCCCAGACAAGGACTACTTATGTGACTCACTCCACGTGTTCAAGAAGAGTGAGTGTTCCAGAGAGAGACCGCCGGCCCTGGGGTGGAGATGCTGCGCCCCGGGGGCCGGGGGTCTCTCCCCGCATTCCCGAAATAAACGTTACTTATATTTTATACTTCTTATCTTTGTAGCCACCACTGGCCACTCCACTCCTTCCTTCCCTTCCTCAGACCTAACAGATGGTGCCGGGACTCGACAGCAGGTGAGAAACTCCTGGGATTTTCCCAGTTTTTTGGTCCCCTGCTGTTCAAGATTCTTCACTTCTACACTCACAAATCCTAAGTTCGACTGCTGCTTCTCAACCAACACCCACCAGGTGAGTAACTCCCCGGAGATAGCCACTGGGCCAGGCTCACGCGGATTTTCTCCCCTCTAGCGTGGGTTCATGACCCTTTCGAATCTTTTAGACAGCCCATACCTAGGCCCTCACCTTTTTTTCCAGAGATTTTGGGGCTCTCTAGGCAAGCTGATGTGAGCCCACACTAAAAAACCCTCATTTTAAAGCTTTTTACCTTTCCTGCCAGCTTCCCTGTCCCTTTGTCTCCTCCAGGATCCCTCCCTCTCCCCACACATAAAGAGATAACAGCCACTGAACCAGGCTCTTTGTTTCCCAGCACGCGCTCCCTTCCCCCTCTCTCCCCATCCCGCACGCCCGGCGTTCCTTCGTTCCCGCTCCGGCGGCAGCGCGTCATCGGCAGCGGGAGGGGGGTCACCGGCAGTCCGGCAATCAAGAGGCGATCTCCTGCGGGGGGGGGAGGGGGCGGACACCCAGGGGGCCGGCGCCGCGACTCTGGATGCGAGCTGGGCCCTTCCCATAGATTGCCCCAGCTGCCATACCCGGCCCGGCCCACTCGTGCCAGGCTCCTCTCCCTCCCCCCTCCCACTGCGCTAATAGCTCCCTTTGTTTCCAGTGTGCACCAACCCATCCCCCGTCACCACCACGGAGATTAAAATGAGACTAGACAATAAGAGATTCACATAAAACTGCTCTAGATTTTAAACAGCTTTTTTTCTTTTCGCTCTCACATCGTGTTCCAATTCTGTGGGCCCCACAGTTTCGGCCTCTCGCCCAGCCCGTCCTGTGCTGCACCAGCTCATTGGAGCTGGTCATTTCCACCGCTGGCGGATGCCCGCGAGACTCCGCGCCATGGCTCCAGCCATTGCTGCTGCCCCGACCCGGGCGCCCCACGCGGCCGCCGGGCTCTCGCTCAGCACATTCCATGCTGCGCCAACTCATTCGAGCCGATCATTTCCGCTGCTGGCGGATACCCACGAGACTGTCCGCGCCGCAGGTTCCCTCACAGACACGCCGCAGGTTCCCTCACAGACACGCTGGCTCCTGCGGGCCGCAGCAGGCCGTGCCCCTGACCGCGCCACCACCCGCGCCCACCGCCACGTCCCCGACCGTGGTGCCCCCGCCCGAACGCGCTGTGCCCCCCCCTGCCCACACACTCGAGCTACAGCAGCCATCCATCCGTGACGCCAGGTGTCACTTCTGGCCACTACTACGGGCCTCCAAGCCCCACTCCCTTATGCGGTCGCAGCTAAAATACATCATTTCCCTGCGCTGCTTAGCGCGTCATAGTAAGTGTCTGGGTGGGACCTCAGCCCACCCCGCCTACTGTGTCCCGTGTTCGCCCTGCCCACTCTTCATGTTCCTTGCCAGCCCGCCCCTCCGCGGCACCAGGCACACAGGCTGCCACTGCCGCCCTACCGCACCGGACACGCACCAGCCGCGTGCCACAGCTGCCATAGTTCCGTGGCACCAGGCGCCACCTCTGATCACCACTGCAGGCCTCCAAGCCCCACCCCCTTACACGGTTGCAGTTTCCTGCGCCCTCTTAGCGTGTCACAGTAAGCGTCTGGGTGGGACCTCAGCCTGCCCCACCTACTGTGTCCCGGCGTTTGCCCCGCCCACTCTGCATGTTCCATGTCAGCCCCCCTCCTGCCTGCTGTGTGGTGGTGCTCATCCCGCCCCAAGCACAACTCTGCTCTCTTCCTACAGGTGCTATCTCAGCATCTCAAGCTGCCTTAAACACTTCGCGTTTCCAAAGTCTCGTGGCCCTGCCCAAACTTTTTTTTACAATTCAGTTCCACTCAAGAGAGGCTATTTTTTTTCTTACAATTTTTCTACCATTTATTCACTATTATTGGCCACCTGATAATTTTACCAACCTGCCTGCCTTATAATCTTAAATGCCAATATTAAGCTCCTACATAATTACTTAATTCTACAGATAACTTTTACTATAGTCCTGATCTCAAACAACAAGGCAAAACTTGACCTTCAAGCTCTACAGAGACCTTGCTATGGTTGTTCCTATTTTAAATAACACTTACAATTCTGAGACAGATACATCTACACAAGGTAAAGCTACCTCCCCCTCCACCCCCGCCATGGGCCACACTCAAATTCATCATAAGACATCAAACAAAATCCCCCATGCTGGCATTCTTCGAGACCTTACTCCAGGGCTGTTTAGGCTATCCTGGCCACCAGAGAGTGGCCTGGCCATCCTACCTTGTAGCCCTCACAGGTCACTGCCAAAAGATCTTATTCCAGGGCTGGGTTATCCTGGCCACCCTAACTGGTAACCCTCACAGGTCACAGGGGCCAACCACCTTGGTGGATATCTGTCTCAGAATCCAAATCACATTAAAACTCTCAAGGTAAGACATTCTCTATATTCATGGACATAAGAGACCACATATACAGAGTTCTTACTGAGTTTTTAGGCTAATAAATCCTCAATGTCTCATGGAGTATTGAAGGTCAACCTATGCCAGTTACAAACAGGGCCCATTTTTATACAGGTCCCAGTCCTAAATCTTAAAATGCTTTTATTCCCTTTTAAACTGCCATCCTGGTTTCACATCACTCAGGCCCTAGATCTAACCATCCTTTTGATACTCATCTCTGCCTTACGACTCACAGGTTGTCATGTTTTGTTGTCCAGTTTGATTCTTAATTTCTTACATTCTATTAATGATCATTTCTATAGCAGGACTCTCTAACAGGATTGCCTACAGACTCCAACGTCATATATACCAGAGACAAGCCTTACCTACCTACCTTTTAACTTTTATGCTTTCATATGGGGGAATAATCACCTCTCATAACTTCACTCCTCCTAATCCCACGTTTAATTTTTCAGAATCCTGCCTTGCCACCTCAAAGTCATCCTGATAGAATAACAGGTCTAAATCAAAGACACCTTTCCCTCTACCTCACTTGGGTCCATAAATATGACAGTGCCATGTCTCCTCATAACATCTTGTTTCTTTGTTTTTTCCAGTCTAACATACGTGCATTCACCAGTGAAGTTGTCCTGGCTAAAACACCTAACATCAGCGTCTACCTGGGCATCAACCTTCATCCCGTTGACTCCCCTAGACCCCAATACAGCGCCCTCAGCCAGCAGGAAGTAGTTACAGAGAGAAATCTTCGCCCCTTTTCCTAATAATCATAAGACGGGATATGAAAGGGTTGCTGGCCCAGACCGGACACTTTAACCAGGAGAAGCCTCAGCCAAATTAAGGAGCTCCTGCCTCCCCCGCCCCTTAGAGATTTACCTGTAACCCTATACCCCTGCGCTTAGTAACCTGCCTCTGGCACCAAACGTGTGCCAACGGGCTACCTGTGCATCCCTAATGCCCCTTGGGGTCCACCCCAGACAAGGACTACTTATGTGACTCACTCCACGTGTTCAAGAAGAGTGAGTGTTCCAGAGAGAGACTGCCGGCCCTGGGGTGGAGATGCTGCGCCCCGGGGGCCGGGGGTCTCTCCCCGCATTCCCGAAATAAACGTTACTTATATTTTATACTTCTTGTCTTTGCAGCCACCGCCGCCCACTCTTTCCACTCCACTCTACTCCACTCCTTCCCACTCCTCCACTCCTTCCCCTCCTTCCCCCTCTTTCTCCCCTTCTCAGACCTAACAAAGAGTAGGAAAATTTATTGGGAAAAAGAAAAGGGAATAGGAACAGCTCCTGGAAGAAAGGAGGGATCCCAAAGGGGCTGCCAGTGAAGAAAGTTTTATAGAGCAAAATCATGAGGCAGCTACTCTTGTAATCCACAAATGAGCCCCCAAGCTTGAGTTTAAAAAATGAGGCAAAAACATATTTTAAAAAGCAGCGCTGATTTATTTTACCCTGGGCTCAGGGACACAGTGCAGTAAGAGATTGCAAAAGCTGTGTGTCTCTCCTCTACATTTCCGGCCCCTGCAGTACCTATCACCGCTCACAAAGTAAAGTAAAGGTCATGGGCGTGACTCAGGAAATAGAGTAATGGGGAAGATCCTGTTTTCCTCAGCAGAGAATAGAGGAGTCTAGCAGCAATTAACAACCTTTGTTTCCCTTAGGAGAGGACAGAGAAGTATTGCAGGAATTTACAATTCTTTACAGAGGAGAGCATTGATTAACATATCAATTAGGTCACCCAGAGGGAGAAGGGTGAAGGGGGAAGGGGGAAGGGAAACATATATACAGTAAGGCCACGTTACAGGTATTTTGGTATAATACAAATAAAACAAAGCTATTTTTTTCTAGAGTACAACAGCTACAACATGGGTCAAAATTACGATTAACCACTAAGATTGCAAGTGTAGTCACTTAGGTAATATTGATCCAGAGGTAGCAAGGGCATATAGCTAATATCATTAACCTTGCTTGATAATCTATAGTCTTAGTCTTCAAGTTTATTTTAGTCCTAGTAGTTTTGGTCTTAGTGTTAATCTTAGTCATAGTCTTAATGGTTTTAGTTTTAGTCTTAGAGAGTGGAAGAGGATAACCTATCCCTAATGAGATCATTGGAAACCTCAAAAGGGCTATACCAATAATCTCAAACTTCTATTTCTTCCTTAGGGAAGCACATAAATCTAGCCATTGTGTTTCAGTCTTCATCCTCCAGCCACAGTCCTGAAGCATTTTCACCTTCTCCACTGGCACCCCCAAGGCCTCAGCCCTATGTGCCTGCCTTCTACATTTCTATTGACTTAGCTGTCTGTAATACTTGAACCCTGTTGCCCAGATTCCACTGCCAAATAGGCTACTCTCCAAAATAATTCTAGCCCATCATTGGTTGTATAAAAAAGCCTGGCATTTATTGGTTGAATTTGTTACCTAGTAACAGTTACACTGTTTCAAATTAGTTTCTTAGTCCTGCCCCCCACACACTATTTTTCCCTTGAGGGCTGCTGCTGTGGAGTCTGTTCTCTAGAAGTGAGGCCACTTTAGGATGCTGCCTCCCAAAACTGACAGAAGGCCCTCAGAAAGGTGTTCTTTCCTAAAAGTCCACTTAAACCCCTCCTTGAGATAAACAAAGAGAACAAATTTGATTTTTTCCCCTTCTTTTTGTGGAGCATCTATGGCAGAAATAAAAAAAGAAATTGGCACCAAAAGGCGGGAAGAGTGATAAGGGTATGATTCATTTACTGTGGAAAGAATCTGGATAGTCAACCAATCAATCAATTAATTGATCCAGACTTAGTTTTATGAGAGAAAAAAAGAGAAAGAGCTTGGAAAAACTACTCTGAATTTCTTGCTTTCTCTCCATCCTTCTCACTCTTCAAACTTTAAGAAATTGCCTTTTAATAGCACAGATATACCAGGTCCTCCCAAGGTCATAAGTATTAAAAGTTTAAAAATGAACAATGACTTTAAAAAATTTGAAAGCACCAATAAACACTGTAATGATGTGATGAAAACAATCAGGAAAACAGTGATAGAGGTTTCAGGTAGTCCCAGTTTAAATTTCAAAGACATCACACTGTTAGAAGGGAGAGGCGGGACAAGGGAGGCCTTTGCCCCAGTTCCTGTTGGCAGGAAACTCACCTCAACCATCAGCGAGGCCAGGTTGCATCTTGTACCCTGGCAAAAGAACAAAAGACCAATGTGCTCAAACCAGCCACAGTTTATGGCAGGCCTGTTGAGGAGAATGTGGTGTTGATCATCATCTCTATTGGTCTGGATTGCATGGTTCTCTCGAAAAGCCAGGGTTGCCATAGCCAGAAAATATGATTTTCAGCAGGAAATATATTTATCATTTACTACAAGGCTGATAATTTTGAAAAATTAGTCATACATAGATGAAAGGGGAGGAGGAAGTGCAAGTTGTAGGACATAGTGTCTTTTAGGGAAGTCCTACACTGATCCAAGTGACTCTGTGATAGGTCTGGACAGAAGATCTCTGTTTAACCCTCACAGGGATTGAGCTGAACCTCTTTCATAATTGAAAGTAGGACCCTTCAAATTACGAGTCTGCGCTCCCAGGACTGGCCCTGGCACGGAGGAGCACCCTTTGTTTTGAGTAGCTGTAGCAGCTGTTACATCTCCCCTCTTTTCTCCCCACAGGACATGCAAGAAGAGTAAATACAGCTGCTTTTCCCAGGTGCAGACCAAAGCCTAAGCAAGAACCCGATGTGTTGTCCTGTACCCAGTGAGGGATGAGACTGAGAGGGAAGATTCTATTTTAGGACATTTTTGCAGCTACAGACCTTCAGCTCTTATCTGCACAAATGTGGAGATAAGATGTGAAAGGGTGCCTCCTACCCATTCACTCCTGCTGCAGAATAAACCCCCGCAGTGCTAAGGGTGAGAGGGGAAGAGGCGGTTGATCAAGACTGACCTCTCTCTTACCTTAGAGGAAGAGGAGAATGAGACTTGCCTAACTAGTCTGATAAATTCTAGCATTATAAAAAAAATTCTTATTATCTTTAAGAAGTGTGTCCTTGAGATCTTAACAGTGAGGCTTAAGAGATTTCACGGGCCCTGCTTCTCTCTTTTTAAATTAATTTCCAACATAACAGAACATGTATATCTGAATAAGGTTGCACATGGTTATTTGAATAAGCTCCAAAGTCCATAAATTAATAAATCAGCTGTTGCTGCTTTAGGTGGGGTGCAGGGTAGCAGTCCACCCTCCTCACCATGCCTTACAACCCTAAAATGACCTGTTTTATTCTCCACCTCCTTTGTACACATCAGGAAATAGGTTGTAAATGCTCTATTCTGTTCCTTAAGTAAGTCACAACTACTTTGTTCACACAACAGTACTTTTAAGTAGCCAGAAAATGTTTGTTTCTGATCTTCTTAACTTGGGCTTCTAGTCTTGCAGGTGTCCTTCAAAAATTAACCTTATTTCTAGGTAGGATATTAGAGTCTTTGGAAAGTATGGCAGAAAATGGTTTTGAAAACTCTGAGTTATGAAGAACTAAGCCGTTTTCTTTGCCTTCTGTAAAGAATCAGCATCTGTACCCCAGATCTGTTTATTCATTTTCTTAAAAAAAAAAAAAAAAAAAAAAAACAGAATTCCTAATTGAACACTTTGAATTGCTTGACAGTAAGAGACTGGAAACCCAAGACATTTATTATTATCATAGTGTTGTTGGGTAGTTCCTTTAGTAGTGGATTGGCAATTAAAGGTATTGCAGGTCTTTATTGCCACAAAGAAATGAATGAGACAAGCAAAAACAAAAAAGAAAAAAAAAAGAGACAAGCAAAAACAATGCCAAAAGTTTACATATTTGCAAAGTGAGGGATGAAGAAACTGGCTCTGCAGAATGAACTTGGATCTAACAAAAGAGAAAAGGTGCAAAAATAAAAGTACAGAAAAACAAAACAAAAGTAAAAGCACACCTGGGTTGGGGAGACTCAGGGTGGGCTCCCGTGAAGAGTCACAGTAGTGGGCTCCTCATGGCGTCTCATCTCTTTTATACCATCCACGTTCTGTGCAAGCCCACAAGAAGTTCTACATAGGGGTCCTATGAATTATTTGGTGGTGTCCTGGGATCTTATGATTAACAAGTTCCACTTCTTTTCCCAGCCAGCTTTTTCGCTTCCTACCTCCTATCTCAGTAGTTTATAGTAAGAGTTACAGAGTAGCAAATTGCTTTGCTGAAACTAAATTTCTGTTTGTTTGTTTGGAGACAGGGTTTTGCTATGCAGCTAGGGCTGGCCTCACTACGATGTAGCTCACATATCCAAACTGCCTTCAAACTCATTATCCTCCTGCCTCAGCTTCCTTAGTGCTAGGATTTCAGGCATGTACCATCATACCCAGCTTTTATGGAACTAAGCATTCTTTTAAAATTCTCATCATAGTCATGTGTGCTGGCAAATGCCTGTAACCCCAGCACTAAGAGAGGCTGAGGATTAAAAGTTTGAGCCCAACCTGGGCATTTTAGTAACACTGTCTCAAAAAAAAAAATTTTTTTTTTTTTTGGTCTTTTTCCTTTTTATCGGTACCGGGGATCAAACTCATGACTGCCTGCTTGCAAGGCAGGCCTTTATGCTGCTGAGCTGAATCCCCAGCCCCTCAAAAAAAAATTTTTTTTAGAAAGAACTGGGGGTATAATTCAGTGCAAAGACACTGGTTGCAGTTCCTAAAATTGAAAAAAATTATTACACTCAGTTGTGAATAAAATATACAGAATACCCTCAAGGCCTTTTTTTAGGCAGTGCCTTACCGTGTGGTCCAGGTTGGCCTTGAACTCACAGTGTATCCCAGGCTGGCCTCAAACTCATAGTGATCTTCCAGCCTCCAAAGAGACAGGTCCAAAGTGGGGCAAAAGTGGGAAATCACAAGGTGGGCATGAGGTGGGACAAAACTATGGTCAATCAGTAAGATTATGTGCATAATTGCTTAGGTAATATTAATTAAATGGAGATCAAATGGGCAAACAAGTCAGGTACCAAGCAGGCATGAAACAGAACAGGGGCTTTTCCTGGAGGTGTGAGTCAATGGCTCTTCCTGGATTTTCCAAGGTGATTGACAGCTACTGAAAATATCAATCACTATTGTTTATTCTTAGGGAAAGTATGTG